CTTGGCTCACTGGGCGGTGGGTAACATTCTTCTAGTCCTCAGTCAGGGACAGTTCCTGGACTTATGTACGGAGTCCAATCCCAGCTCCGTACGGTACACGGTACACGAGGGGCCTGGAGCCTTGACTCCTCCCAACTGTATCAGTGCTCAGCCCAATCCCCCTCAGCTCAGGCTCATGGCCACGGACATGTGACTTGGTTCCTGTGCCGTGTCTGGTTTGTGCTGCATGCTCATGTGCCTTCTTTTAGCCTTGAGGACAGGGCCTGAGTCCCTGTTCCTCTTCACGGTGCTCGACCCAATAATACTGCAAGCTTCTCCTCCTTCCCAGAGGGAAGGCCTGAGCCTGGGCCTAGCTCCTCCCTGTCGGTGGGATGGCAGAGGTGAGGGGCCCTACGCAGAGGTGCCCTTTTTTGTTTCCGGCTCTGTACAGTCAAGGGGAGGAGGCAGGGTGGAGGGAGGCGGCGTTCATGTCAGCGTGGGAACTGCTGCGGGGCTGAAGAGGTCCACGTTCTGCCAACTCGGCATCCCAGGCCAAGGCCTGAGCAGCAGGAAGACCTGTTGAACACTTATTCCCTATTTTTTTTTCTTTTAATTTCCTCTGAAATGAGTATGAACGCACTACGGTCTTTATACTCAGCAGGAGCTAATCCCCCCCCTAGAAGCTTTGGGGGGGCCTCATTCCTCCTCACGGATGCCAGCTGTCGACACAGGCTTTGCTTTGGGCTCTTCTGACGGGCCCACGGTGGATGGAGCGGCTCTCTCCTTGGAGTTCTATTACATTTATAACCCCGGTTTCTTAAAAAGAAAATAACAGGGGAGTTGGTTCCAGAGCCCCAGTGCCTGTGGGAAACGCTGCCTTCTCTTTGAGGCCTGGCGGCTTTCTATGGCTTGTCTGGGCCCTGGAGGGCGCCCACCGTTTCACGGGCGCTCCCCCCACCCCCTGCGAGGGGACGGTCACTCAAGCCTCAGCCCACCGCACACACTCAGGAGGAAATGTGTACTTGTGTCGATGAAAGAACCAGGGGAGGAAAATGATCTTTTAATACATGAAACTGCTTAATAAGTATTATCCGCTAAGTAAAATCACATTGCCCTTGAATGTCTTGGGCCACGTATCCATTCTGTTAACAAAGGAGACTACGGGCTGAAATGTTTAATCCCTTCAAATAATGGCAACAAAAGTCTCAACATTCATCCAGGGCGCGTTTTATTAATTGGTGTGTGCACAGCCCTGTAAGGAGGCTCTGTGGAGGCATTTTGTCACATAAGTCTCCGGTATCTTCAAGAAGCCTCTTTTTTAAGGTACCCAATTTATTCTGTGGCTAGCTCAGTGGGATAAAAATTGTCTTAGAATTGCTAATCCAGGGCGCCTGGGTGGCTCAGTTGGTTTAGCGACTGCCTTCGGCTCAGGTCATGATCCTGGAGTCCCGGGATCGGGTCCCGCATCGGGCTCCCTGCTCGGCGGGGAGTCTGCTTCTCCCTCTGACCCTCTCCCCTCTCATGCTCTCTCTCAAATAAATAAATAAAATCTTTAAAAAAAAATAGAATTGTTAATCCAGTTGAGATGATTTAAATTACTAAGGGCTGTGGAAGGCTATCTGTTAAATTATCAGTCCATGCCCTTTCACACATTTGTGCTTTTAAAGCACACAGAGTATTTTCTCTGTACAGAACAAGGAACCCTTATTATAAAGCATTCTCAGCTCTCTCAGTGAATCATGTGGAATGAGAATCCACCTTAGAGTTAAAGTCATATATCTCCCCTACACTATCTGATGAAGCTTTCTGCTGGTTTCTTCGGTGGCCAATCACATGACAGATATATGACTTTGAGACAGGAACTGAAATAAAATTCCTATAATACCGTTAGGGGGAAGGGGGGATTGTCACTGTGGAGCATTTCCGTCAATGACTTAATTTTCTTTAAACTTCCCTCCACCCTCACTTTGAGCTTGGAACTCAACGCAAAAGAGCTGCTTAGTCTAGCTACTGAATCCACAATACTTTAAGCTCCTCTAGTTTTTCACATTTTCTTCCAAGGATTTCAGGTGCTAAATGATACACATAAACCCTGGGAGAGTTAATGGAATACTCTAATCAGCAATCTCAAGAGTGCTTTACACAGCCGGAGTCTAGGAGAGAGAAGGATTAAAAAGCCAAGCATCTGGTGCTTCCAGAAAGTACCCTTCTGATGACACTTCAGCACTGACTCCGAGGACCAGATGGTACACTCTCAGATACCTATTGTCAGGTGGTTGTGGATGGCACACAAGACCCCCAAATCCTCCAGCCCCATCCTTAAATCCATCTCGTCCATATAAGAGCATCAAAAAGTGAAAGCAATGTTGCAAATGTAGGACTTCCACCTCAGAGATCACATCAAGGGTAAGAAACGCATTCCCTAAGAAGTCACTTCCACGGTGGTTTCCATTTCTGACTCATAACTCAGTAAATCGCCGTTCCATCCTTCCGGTTCCTCAGACCAAAGCCCTAGAGTGATCCTTGACTTCTTTCTCTCTCACTCACCACCAAAGGTGTCAGCAAATGCTGTTGGCTCTACTTTCGAAATGCATCCAGAATCCAACCACGTCTCATCACCTCTGCCATGTCTACACTGGCCCAAACTACCATCATCTCTCCCCCTGGATTCCTACAAGAGCCTGGAACTGGATTCCCTGCTCCACCCTCAGGCCTTGCTGTCTGGTCTCCACTCAGTGGCCAGAGTCATCCCCTTACAACAGCAGCTCGAACATATCATCCTTCTGCTCGAAACTCTGCTGTAAGCGCCCCTCGCGAGGCCCACGCTGAGGAAAAGCCAGGCTTCCGATGGGGGCCTTCTGGGCCCCGTGAGCTCCTTGCTCATGCCCCACCTGACATCTAAGTGAACTTCTCACCTCCCTCCAAAACCCCACGCTGACCCCGGGGATACTCTTCCAACAGGCCGGGAACATCCTCATCGTGGGGCCTCCACCCTTTATACCTAGCCACATGGAACACCCTTCTCCCAAACAACAAACATGTGGCTGATTCTTTCTTCCCCTCCTCAAATCTCATCCCCAAGGCCACATTCCCAGTGGGCCTACCCTGATCACTCTCAAAAACTGCAACTCCCGACTCGCGGCACGCCTCATCCCTTCTCTGTTTCCATCTCTCTACAAAACATTACCACCTGACAAACCATGTATTTACTCGCTTCTTTATTCATGCATTAATCTGTCTCCCTCCACTAGAACGTAAGCTGCATGAGGGCAGGAATTCTCGGCTGCTGTATTTGCCGTACCTACAAAGACACGTGGGCCCACTGCAGGCGTTTGATAAATATCTGAGCAATGAATGAATACTTCCTTGGAAGACTCAATGTCCATCAGAACTCTAGGCTTTGATAGGCTTATCCTGACATTTCTGGACACACACACCACAATAACGTCTTCAGATCTGGAGCAAGTTTTGTTAGAGGAAACAGAAGACCTTACAGGATTTCAGACAGGCCTTGGGATCAATTCCATACTCCAGAAGGTGATGGGACATCAAGGTTCAGGAGACGGGCCCATGTCAGCAGGTCAAGGGGCCGGATGCTGTTGTCCTTCCATACAGGGACTGTGGTCTAGTGTGAGGAGAGCAAGGGCCTGGAACCCTTGTGGGAAGACGGCATGTACTGACCCCCATGCACATCTGCCTCTAACGCCCGCCACACACTCATGTCCCACACTGAGATCTGCTCCCACGAAAACAGACACTCCCTAAGACACGAGCATGACTGCAGAAAAGAACTTCCCAGTAGAAACCTGGGAAGCAGGAGGAAGGTGCTGAATGTACGAAGACTCATTTTTTGATCTGAGATTGGTTTGGAGTCAGGGTAAAGGAGAAAGGGAAAGTTGACAGGAATATGTTTTGAGAATTCTGTTTTTTCACAAAGAACGTTAAGAGCAACGTGGAAAAGAAATGTCTGATCATTGGCATTTTCCTCAGGAGTAACATGAACATTTTTTAGTTTTTAGATTATGTGTGTGTGTGTGTGTGTGTGTGTGTGTGTGTGAGAGAGAGAGAGAGAGAGAAAGTAAGTGGAAAAGGAAAAATAACACTTCTTTTTCAAAATGAAGATTCTTCAAGAGATCTGTTCTCTCTGCATCTTTTTCTGTTATATAAACCCAAATCACTAGCTCCTCCCAATTATCCGTTGGCAGTTTGGTGCCAAGGAAAAAAACGACATCACCAAAACCAGTGTTTCTCACTGAAACCCCTCAGCGTGACTTCATTCTGTTCCAAATCCTGGAAATCACCTTCAACTATTTTCCCAAGAAATGATAAAACATAAATACCCGTTTGAGTAAAAATTGCTTCAAGTTTTGCACTCGCCTAGGTCGTAGATTATTTTTTTTAGAGATAATGATGGTCACGGTCATGGAGATAGAAGGACGTGACATGGTTCGTTTTAGACTAAGACATTTAGGGAGACAAATTCCACAGTCATAGGTCTACGATTTTTGCTACCATTTCTCCCTCCGAGGACTACATAGGAGGAAGCACACCCAGTTAACCAGAGCGCTTTTACACCTCATTACATAGCATCGTGTTCTCATTATTCCATTTTTGCCTGCAGCGTGCCTCTGGCAAGACTGGGCACCACTTAAGCACAGGTGCTGTCCCTTGTGCTGCCCTAGTAACCCCACCAGGCGGCAAGCAGGGAACTAGACACACAGTAGGTGCTCAACGAACACCAGCTGCCTTCACATTGCTGCCAGAGATCTTTTAAAACTCTTGACAACGGTAGTGAAATCGTCAACGGGTGAAGAAAGGACGGGCCTGTGTTAAGTCGAGACGCCCTGTGAAAAAGCAAAGGACAACAGAGGGAAAAGAAACCGAGGGAACAGGCTCGTGCACATTTGCATCACGCATCAGAGCGAACCGTATTTCAGGAGTCTCAAGCAACACTCTTAAAACGTTAGCTTTCAAAAGGAGGTATTGTGAGAGGTGAATTCAGAGCTAAAATAAATTCTTACAGTTTTCATCCTGGGCAATGCATTGTAAGGGAATCCCAAAGAAAGACGTATAGCTGTCATTGTACCACACGAGAAGCTCGGTACCCCTGGGAATATCTATACAGGCTCGGTAGAATATATTCGACCTATTCAAAACAAAAGAAAACCCAGCTTAGTCAGAGGTACATTGTTATTGCCCCCGAAAAAAGTTCTGCTCCCCCCTTATCATTCCCAGCAACCAGCGAGAGCCTGCACCCCAGAGTGATAAACACTTTACAATTTATCTCTACAATGTCCCTCCACAGAACATCGTGGCTGAAGAGACTGATATGGGGCCCAGGAGATAGCAGAAAGCCAGGGCTCCTTTAAAAAAAAAAAAAAAAAATCCTATCTCACACTAATGAGAAAATTCTGTCTCTTGGCAAATTGCAGACACTGGTGCCTCACCCTCATATATAAATTAATACTATCGATTTCTGATTTGAAGGAAAAGCATGACACGTATTCCCATGACTCGGCATTGGGAGTCCCCAGATTTGCAGTAAAATGAAGCAGCTTTGGGATCGAAGGACTGAGGGAAGTAAAAAGAAAAAAAAAAATCTTCCCCGTTGCCTGTCTTCTAAAGTTTGATACGAGAGAAGAGACAACCCCTCTTACGGGGAACGAGTGGAAATTCAGTAATACAAGAGGAACACTTGACTCCGGCTGAAAGATTACCCTCTGAAATGATAGAGTGAACGCACCAAGAAATAAACATTTTTTATAACAGCTCCGGTGCTGGAAAGAAAAACCTCCAGATTAAAAAAAAAAAAAAATGAGGAGACCGTGACCGGTTTCCTCCATGAAGAATTGCTACAAATATGAGCCTCAAGTTCAAGATAAAAGCGTTTAGGGTTGGTGGGCCTTAAATTTAGCCTTTCTGTAAGGAATCGGCTGTAGCAGGGCAATTTGTTCCTTGTATAACACTGCAGACGTAAGGCGAATCCTTCCCCACATTTTTCATGGCAGTGAGATATGCCCTTGTCAACATATTTCGTCACCGCAAAGTGGCTCTTGGCAATAGGATCATAAAGATCAATAAAAAAGTGCAGATTCTCAATATTTTACTTGCAGCTGCAAAAATTTCATTTATCTTGTTATTTTCCTTCCTTGCTGCCATTCTGTCTCACGAGGGCACTGCTAGCTAAGCAGAATGTTTTTCCCAACATTCTATGAATATCTGACAAAAACTCCAGCCAGTCGTCCGGACTTCACTACCCTTCCTCCCTCCCGCAACTCCAAGAGCTGTGCATTTTATTAATTCTTTCCACTGCTACATAAAAAAAAAATCAAAATTGGAGCCAAGCTATAAATCACTGGCATCTCCTAACTTGAGAAAAATTGAGTCGACTTTGTACTTCACCCTCGTAACATTTCATCTCTCGGTTTGGCTTCCCTTAATATAAACACAGCGCCCGGCAAATGAATGCGCTAAAACCAAATGACACACTTTGCCGCTGAAAGAGCAGAACTGTTTTCGAGCAATGGGTGGTCTTCTGAGGCACGGAGTAGGCCGAGAGGGGGGAAAAAAGAAGGGAAAAAAAAGTGTAAGCGTACACCGTTCCTTACAAGTGGGCAGAGCTTCCAAAACTCGCAGAAATCTCTGCATGTTGAAGCACATCAAAGGGATTTTTCCCTTTTCAGATAATATTTCCTTTGCTGACATGTATTTAGTATTGTGGTTGGATGACTCATAAAGATAGCTTCATGGCGTCCCAACGCAGTTGAAGCAGAACACATGCCAACAAACATTATTGTCAGCCTCAAAATAAAAACAAAACGTTCAGCTAAGGGTCAATCAATCAAGGGCGCTTTGAAGAAAATTCCATTTAGATATTACAAATCATAACAGAATGAATCTAAACCAGCTGACTCTTCGTGAAGAGGACATTCATGTACAATAAAAATGAGGCTGGCTCTTCAGGGTCCAACTTTTCTATTTTCTTACTCTTGGACGTGGTCACTGGTAATAGATGCCAGTTTTTCTAAATGGTGTTTTTGTAGTTCATTTTAGAGAGATCCGAAGTAATCAAAAACAGATCGGCGGAGAGATCTGGAAGTTTAAGCGCCGGCATGAAAGGGGAGCTGTAAAATCCACTCACGGTTGACAGATAGGTGACTGACTTACTGACTTGCCCAGCTTCCCCTTAGGGGCGTCTTGCTTCCCCCAATTCAGAGTTTGCCTCAAGAGCTCCCCCGGTGCTCATGACAGAGCCAGCCAAACAATCTCTCGCTGAGTGGACGAGCACAATGTTTACTAGTTTTCTAGCTCCGAGTTTCCTAAAAGCTTCACGACAGAAATGTGGCTGCTATAAAAGGTGAGTAGGAGCCCGCACAGGGCAGCGTAACCAGATACCGGCATGCACCGAAACCATTATTTAAGGAAATATAACTGCATGAGAAACCAAGGCTGCCCAAATAGGTCCCTTTTGAACTGGAGACCTTCAGAGAGGCAGCCAGATTTGTGCAGCCTTCAACCTATAAGGGGGAGAAAGCCCTTTCTTTTCTTTCTCTTTTTTTTTTTTTTCCTTTACAAGGCTTCATGTTTAAAAACTAAAAAAGAAAAAAGAAAGCAAGGAAATAAACAGCCCTCGGCAGGACTCCAAGTTGCCGAGGACAGGGCCTTCTGCTTTGATGTGTCTGTGGTGCCTAATAAAGCTAAACAGTTGCTTCTGATTCTAAAGGGAACATGGCTGTTTATAACTGAGGTCATATATTTATACGGCACATGTTTTCGAGGGATTTTGAGAAAAGGGCTTTTTTTTCCCCCCTCTGTGATCTGTTTTCGTGCTCTCGTCTCCACTCCAGCCTTCTTTAGCACCGAGTGGAAATGCCTGACCAACAGGTGCACTGAGCGGAGGCGGGGATCCGCCCCCCTCCGCCCCGCCCACGGGATTTTGGGAACCGAGGGAGGCCCCGCCTCCTCTTTGCTACCCTTTTGGCTTTGCGCAACCTTCGCAGGGAACTGGGGGGTTTCTCTCTGCTCTGGGGCTGCTTCATCACCTGAAACATGGTCTGAACAGTCGAAGAGCCAAAGCCAAACGCTCTGGCACCTGTCGAGGGAGTGAGGGAGCAAGGGAGCGGGAGAGGTGATTTGGGCTCAGCTGCTGCTGCTGAGCCCAACAGTTTGAGAAGAGCAGCCTGGGGTGGGGTGGGAGTTAGTGCTTGGTTTCCCACGCCTTTGTAGGAAGGACAGTTTCCTGAGGCAGCAAGCCTGCAGAGGATGGGCTGCAAGGGATCCATGGCCGAATCTCCACGCTCCTATTTCTGTGAGAGTACACATCTGCTGGGGGGAAGGGGAATCACCCCACACCGGCGCGGCTTCCAGGCTCACCCAGGCAGTGGTGGATGTTCCAGCAGTGATATGGAAGGAGCTTGACTGTGTGCACCCGAGGGAGTGAGGCCTTCCACGAGCATCTTTATTGCGGAATTCTCACATTACTGTTGCAAGAACTAAGGAGATCCCAGAAACCTAGTAAAAGAAATTCCTGCCCATTCCCACAGGGTTCTGCAGGACTCCCTGCAGGATTTTTCACAACTAGCAGCAAGCCTGAATTTGTAAATGCAAGCCGAGGGGCTTCAGCTCCGTAAGGGGTAAATCAAGATATACTTTACCTGTACTGAACTACTGTTAGATTCTGCTCTCCGCAGTGCCTTGCACATCGGATATACCTCATCCAGCTCGACTTACTAGGTTCCCCACCATCAATAAAGTGCTGTAGTGTCCCATCTTGGTCATATATCTAGAGAAGAGGTCAGAAGGTCAAGTAGTTAGAACGAATCATCAGCAATCATTTTCCCTGCTTCCCTTGGTGTCTTTATGTGTTGGCTGCAGAAATGTATGGCCTGTAGGTTTGTGGGGGGCTTACTGATACCTGTGGAAACGCAACTGGAATAACAGGAAAATATTTTTTGGTGATGCGAGTCGATCATATTTTTCTTATCAAGCCAATCTTCCCTGTATTCAACATATTTCTGGTATCTCAAGGATGTGAGGGACCATATTTCCCAAAGGATATTTAAACCTATTTGACAGGCTACTCTTAAGTAATGAGCTGCTGGATAAACAAAGCAAGCTGAAGGGAGAGGCCACACTGACATGGCTGGAACATCCACACCAGAGGCCCCCCCGGGCTCAAACACGTAACTGTTCGAAGGCCTTCGGGACGCAGTAACCGTGGGTTGGACAAGCTCGGTGATACCCAGCAGAGGGCAGGTGGAGCATTATGGAAATGCACAGAACTGGTAAAAAAAAAAAAAAAAAGGAAATTAAAAAAAAAAAAAAAAAAAAAAAAAAAAAAAACCCAAAAACAAAATTTGGATGAAATAAATGGACTCTCAAGTCGCAGAGGATGTGGGACTTCAGCTGTCAGGACCTGAAACTATAAAGGAGAACCATCAAAAAAGAGAGACCCTCAAAAAAAGAAAGAAAAAAAATTAACTGCTTCCTATGGATTGTCAATGTCTTAACTGAGGTGGGTCTAACAATGATTGCTTTAAGGCATCTTATGCAAATTTTCTTTCAAGATCATATTCAAGGAAATGAAATCTGCTTCAAACCAGGCAAAGAGCATGGGACAAAAAGTCTCATTCATAACGTCCGTCCAGCACACCCAGAGTCAGCACTGACAAGTGAGGTAATAGGTTCCCACTTCCAGAAACCAGGTGAGCCCTGGGCACCTTGGCAGATGTGGTATCTCGATGAGTGGGAGATCAGGGCTTACGTAAGCACAGCAGCTTCAGAAGGGACTCCCAGCCCTGGGGCATCCGGGAAGCAAGGGGCGGGGTTCTCAGAAGGACCACAGTAGGGCTGGTCCTTTCCAAATAAAATCAGCGAGGGGATCCTGGTAACTGCTGAAGTATTCCCCAGAGCATCCTGACAAATCATGTCTCTTACCCTCTGATCAGCCTTTCCAGTCTCTTCCAAATGGACAAGGAGAGTACATCTTACAGAGAGACTCACTGGTTACATTAGACCCTAAAATTAGTATCGTCATTCATATTAATTTAGCTCAGTATTTCTGTTCTGGGGACCAGAGGGCTTAGTGATGACAGTTTCTTTTATTATCTCCAGTCATTTTAAACAGCTGACTTTCTTTTTTTTCTTGCTTTTCTTCAACTCATTTGTCTCCACTCCCAACCTTTCCACTAACCCCCTGCCCCCAAATAAAAGAAAGACATCAATCTAATGAAGGCAATTGCTGGAGAAGCTTTGACTGGGTAGCATGTGAGCATGATCACAGCTGATAATCAAGGTCGCCTGAGAAGAATAAAGACATTCCTGGATTATATTATATTTAAGATTAATGACTTCTTTAAATTCCTAGTTTGAGGATGATGGCAGAGAACAGAATCATTTCACAGGGTGGACACATCTGCTACCTGAGCAAACGAATGACAGGCTTTGCCTTTAGGTTAGATCACACTGTAGTTACTCTGTTGTTCTTACTATTGGTATGTCCTTTTTAGGAAGCTCAAAGATTCAAACTCTCAACCCCGAGTCTGCTGTTGACAGCCCATGCGACACTGAACAAAAGCCATCAGTTTCTCAGACACCAATGTTTATCTAAAATGGAGCCAAAAATGTTGATGACCCAGCCCTCTGCCCTATCCTTCCCCGATGAACAGACTTTCCTTGAGAGCTGTTGGTGAAAATAATTACGAAGCATTTTGAGAAATACCATTCTCCTTTGTGCTTCTAGCCAATGTCATCAACAGCACGTAAAACTCTCTAACATTTGGGGCACCCCGGTGGCTCAGTCGGTTAAGCGTCTGCCTTTGGCTCAGGTCATGATCCCAGGGTCCTGGGATCGAGCCCCCGTGTCAGGCTCCCTGCTCATGGGGAGCCTGCTTCTCCCTCTCCCTGCTCTTGCATGTGCGCGTTCTCTCTCTCTCTCTCTCTCTCTCTCTCTCTCCCCCTCCCCCCTCCATCTCAAATAAATAAAGATTTTTTTAAAAAAACCTTCTCTAACCTTTACCTGTAGTGGGTTGCGACCTTGAATGATGGCTCATCTGAACACCAGACACTAGCCAGTCTTGAAAATGAGTATAAAGGGGCTTTTTCCTACACTCCGCAAGCTACATAGACTGTAACTCCAGGAATCCGACCACTTTTAACTGCCTCCTACCTGCCTTGAGGAGAGCAGGTGGCTATTTGTCAGGCTTTTTCCAAGCATCACACAGCGTAGTGCAGGGCAAGAGGCCTCCCTGACTTTACACTATTTCACACAGAACCGGGACGAAAATCTCAGATGCCTTCTTAGATCCCATAGCTGTGCACCCAATCAGGGTTGAGGAAACTCACTGGACCTTGATGTGGTTTTCTCCCTCGGCCCCCAGTGCCTGGCCATCACCAAATCCAGGTGAATTTGCCTCCTAAATGTTCTTCCAGTGCATCCATCTCGCCGCCTCCATTGTCACCATCCCAGCCGGGGTCGGCTTCCTTGTGCACCTGTGGGACCTCATCCGGCTCCCCACTGACCTCCCTGCACCTTCCCCAGGCCCCTCCAACCTAGTCTCTATACCACAGCCAGACTGATCTTTCAAAGCACAAATCTGATTACATCCATCTCACCTAAGTCCCCCCCTCAAATAAAAGCTTCATAAATGTCATAAAATGTCAAGTCACAATACTAATAATAAAAGTGGGAAACCAGGATGCCCAAATGTAAGCCTAAACAGGAACTAAGGATGATCTCCTCAGAAAAGCTCTAGGGACTCGTTTGGGCCCTATCATTATTCTCCATCATCAGTTCAACTTTGTTTCCATTTAAGAATTCAGTGTATTGAAAAAGGGGCTATGTGGGTGCGCCTGGGTGGCTCAGTCAATTAAGCATCCAACTACTGATTTCAGCTCAGGTCATGATCTCAGGGTTGTGAGATGGAGCCTGCCTAAGATTCTCTCTCTCCCTCTCCCTCAGCTCCTCCCCGCCTCTCTCCCTCTCTAAAAAAAAAATAATAATAATAATAAAAATAAAAAGGGGGTATGTGTAAAATTCCTTGTGTAACTGAACTATACAAGGACACTCGTGCCTGTATAAGTGAAGAAATGCTTCAACAAGTTTCAGGTGAGAGCAACAATTTCAAGTTCAGGAAAGTGTTTTTTCCTGAACACAACCTGGAGGTTGTGTTAACATCTACATTTGTGTGACACTAAAATGAAATTTTAAATTAGATACCTAGTAGGTCTAAAAAAAACCTCAAGGAATTTAAGGAGATGAATTAATGCTGACACCAACATTCATTCTGCTTTCATTTCCTTTCAGAAGATTTAAAATAAGCAGAAAAACACCAAAACCCGTGCACAAAGTGCTGAGACAATCCTCTCAGGACCTACGAAAATGTCAAAGAGGTCAGAAATTGCATTCATTCAAATAATGACGATGAAGGTAAGAGAGTGAAATTTATATTAACGGAAAGATTCTTTCTGGAAGAACACTTGAATAAAGCATAGTTTTGCTTTAAACTTTGTACTCTGTCCTGAAATGAACATGAAACAACCAAAGTTTTAGTATTTGCTCTATTCTTTCTAAAGCAGCCAAAAAAGGACCCAGTGAAAGTGCAGGAAATACACATAAGGAAACACACAGGATACTTGGTGGGAAAAAAGTAAAATTTTGCAGTAGAAAACTCTCAAAACCATAGCAGTGTATCTGGCATATTCGTTTTAGGAAGGTAGCTCCAAAAAAAAAAAAAAAAAAAAAAAAGGAAGGTCCTGGGAGGAAGGGAGGAAGCGAGGAAGGGAGGAAAGCAAGCAAACTAGCTCCAGCTTTGCTGAAAAGAAGTATAAGAAAGCACAGTCACGTTGGAAAACACTTTGGCGACATCGAAATAAAGCTGATGATGCATAAATCCTAGGACTCAGCAGTATCACTTCTAGGAAATTTTTCCACTAAAACCCCCCTATGTGTGCCCAAGGAGACAAGTCCAAGGCCATTCACCGGAGCATTGTTTGTAATAGTAAATAATGAGAAATAATGGAACCATCCAGCATCATAAGAATAAATAAATTGTGCTTTAATTATCCAATACAATAGTATAAGACATTTAAAGAAAATGAACCAGATCTGTTTGTATTCAGATCCAGTTGATATGTTGATACTGATAAACATCAAGAACAGAGACCAGTGGATTAAGAAAAAGAGGGTGCAGACTGATACATATGATACCATTTGTTAACATTTCAAAATATAAAAAACAACAGCATATTTTGTAACAGTGTACATTACCATATACATGTAACTAACTATACATGCAGTAAAATTCTGAAGACACTGAAAAGGTTCCTGATAACTTTATGAGAGCTCTGACCTTGGGAAAAAAGGAATGGGAGCAAAATAAAGGGAATTTATCTGAAAAGCTTCTGTTTTTCTTAAAAAAAAATCTGAAGCAAATACAGCAAAATCTTAACACTCACTTTTTTGCTGGCCTGTATATTGACACTTACACCTTATACTTTGTGCTTTTCGGATTGTTTTTCCAAAAAAATCAAAGAGAAAAATAAATGAAATCCTAGGCATTTATTTCTTTGTAATTTGGTTTTTGCACGTGTTGTTAAAATAGAGAAGCAGACTATCTTACCCAAGGTTAAAAACTCTGTGTTATCCTCCTAGGAAAATATTTGTAATATGTATCACTACATTATCAGCCACTGATTTCTTTTGTGATGCTGTTGTTGCTGTTTTAAAACCACTGTTTTTGGTCTGTGCTTTCTCTTTTTTATCAATGGGACTGGAGAGATAAG